TCTACCTCCGACTCAGACCGCCACACCTCCCATACTTCCTATACCCAATGATAATAGGTCTCGGTCAGGCAGTAGGAGTTCTAACCGAACTAATTCTAAAACTAACAACAGTGGGACGTACAAGGCAGCTGCAGAACTAAACGGACAGACTCTACAGAAAGATACATTAAAAAACACCAATGGGAAAGCTCCAAATATCAATTTGGTGGTTTTACACAGACAACAGTACAGATCAAATAATTCTATGATGACGTACCCTGACAACGGGACTGTTGGACCAGAAATATTCTACAATCCCAATCAAATGAATGTAGCCAAAAAGTTCTTTAAAAAACAAAGACAGAATATGAAGAGAAACTGTCTTGAACTACCAACGAGAAGGGATTGTGACAACGACTCCCATTTCTCTTTACCGTTGCCAACCAAAGAAGCTTACAACGGTGTAGCCAACATTATAAACTCAGGCTCAAAAGTTAACAATACCAATATACATGTAGAGAGATCTAACAACGGTATAAAAGAGACTCGCAACGTATTGAACCCCAATCTATTAGAAGAAGACTCGAAGGACAACTACAAGAACTATTCAACAGACAAAAAGTCGTGGAATAAGAATGAGGACCCTAAGACAAGTAGAGGACAGATTATGAACATCTATACAAATGTTCCCGAGACTTTGGTGCCTCAACATCAGGTAGTTAAGGCGAATGTCCCGAAGAACTTTAATGGGCAGCGCAGTAGTGTGTCCGAGGAGTGTCTGCAGAGCCACGCCAGTGAGCCGCCAGAGATGAGGACCATCTCCCAACAGTGCAGCCTCGAGTACAGCTCTGCATCTGAAATAGCCATGCCACACACATGCTCCGATCAAACTCTAAACACACATTCAGAATTAACCTCTTTCCAAGAAACGCACAGTGCCTTATGTTCCACCAACGAAATCACCGATACTGAGAGCTTTGGACAGTACATAGACTACTTGCAACCAGGGAAGCAGGACAAAGAGAATGTTGTAGACAAGTCTTTGCAAGATATCTCTGAAGAATGTACCATGAACTCCGATGATGTGAATAGATCTAGTACTCCGCAGCGATTGGAAGCCGATTCCGGGGAGTTGGATAATCTGCTGCAAAGCCAGGAGATGGAGGGATCTAAAGAGAAATTGGATGATGATAAAGAAACTTTCTTTATGGCGAAAACAACGTATGACTTTGAGACTTGCAGCACGAACGCCAGCGAGCAAGGATTTGAGAACGAGAGCGACATCTATTGTCCAAATTACCAAATGTCAGAAGTGAGTATTCGAAGTCACGGGCTGTACGCTCCTTCGCCGTCGTCTATGTGTCCGAACGAGATCAGCTTCAGCAACGAGGATGTATCGAACATCGAAAGCCAATACGTGAACTACGACCCTGGGTGGAGGAAAACTATAAAGAGTAATCCTAAGTTAGGTAAGTACGTGCCGACGCCGGCGTTGAGTTGTCCCGAGGTGAACAGGGACACCAGTCCCGTGTCGTTCGCGAGTGACATAGACGAACTATATACTCAGATCACGAGTAGAGATAGAGATAGAGAGAGAACGCCCAGGAAGGAGACGGGGCTAGACGTGACGTTGAACAGTGACGTCACGCTGAAGCCAGACAGCGACAGTTGTGTGAGTGAGGCGGTGTCAGACGTAGAAATTAAAGGAGAAACCACAGTGTAGTGTAAACTGAACCTTACGGAGGCATTTTGATACCTAGTACGTTTTTAGGTAGATTCTCATAGCCTTCCTTCTAGTGATTTTGAACTTAAAGTAAATTATATAATGAACTCTTTGTTATTCGAAGAAAATGTTGTTTATGTATCATAAAAGATATTATTGCGATGCTATTAGACTCTATACGTGCTACAATTTAAGTTATACGCTTCGATAATCTTCGTCTGTGTTCGGAAAACTTGACAATTTATATTTTTTTACATTTACCAAGTTCCTTATTGACACTGCCATAAAGTCGAAATTAACTTAGCGCATAACTCAAATGTTAGGACCGAAAGTGTGCTAGGGTAAACTGATATGTTTGAAATCTCATACTAATGTATAAAAATGTTGACTGTATATATTACTTTTACTTCCCACAAGATTTATATGTGTGCGGCGTACGCACACATGTGCAAGTCTTGTGTAGCAATGTTCTAGGCACTTTAGCTCCTGCCTGCCCCAAAACATCTACATTGGACAACTAATATTACGTAAGTATCGTTTATGACAGCTATTACGTGCCATTAATGACGTTTGCATATACTATTTGAAGTCATAGAGTCGTTTTATACAAAAATGCCGTGAACCTGGCAGCTAAAAAAATGTATTTTGTATTTCAAATATAAAATTCTATTCTAAATATAATAAAAGCCAGAAGACGATAGTTTTTATTATTTGAAAGTTATAAACAGATGTTTGTAATAAATAAAAATTAATAGACACTTGAATAAATTCTATTGACTGCGCTCAGTAAGCGTTAACTTACACTGCATTTGAATAGTAAAGATTTCAACAGTATATGCAAAAGCCAGTGTATAATTTCTCTATTAGCGTTTTAAGTTGTATATGTTAATTGTATAGTTATTTATTATTAAGTTTATAACAGTCTGAATAGAAGGTAAAGCTTCTGTCTCGTGTGAAGTATGCTTGACTTGAAATACGTAACAATTAATATTAATTCAGCCATGCTTATATTTTGTTGTTAGATATTGTAAAGTACAATAAAATGATTTGATATGTTTTCCAAAATAATATACGGGATCTTTTCCATAAATGACAGGTTAGCGCAATAGTACTTGCGCTAAATTGTTGCGCAAACTAAGATATTTTTAGCGCAAATGAAAATTTAGCGCAATCTTGTTTTGATATATTGTTTTTTAGTATTAGAGCCGATCCTTGCATACTTTTGATTCCATTAATATAAAATGCCTTCCTGATAAAATACAAATAAGATCACATCACAGCTAAAACTTAAAATAATTAGGCAATGTGTAATCTCGTGAAAATATCTTACAGTATTTAATTTAACAACTAAATAAAAGCATGGTAAAAACAATAAAATATGTGCCAAATCTCAATAGAATTTCAGTAATGTTTTGTACTTAAATATTTCGAAATTGACTGAAAACACCACCGCCTTCGTATCTAGTCCAAATTTCATTAATGAATGAGGTGAAATGTAACTCATGGAAAACAGTCGTATTTCATTAATAATTTCGGATTGTTTTGAATTTTTCTTCACTTGCGTAGATTAATTTGTATACGGGATTAAGAAGTGTAGAAAAATAGTGCTTTCTGAATAAATTACTTAGGTTTTTAATTATGTTGTTTGTGATTGATAAATATTAGAGTGATTTGAGTAAATTGAAATCCCTAACGTTGAGTTACAAATTCACCTCATACCGACAAATCATTCATTGAAGAGGTTTAGAATTGAACCCAGTTGATTATTTTTCTAACTGTTGGTTAAAATATAGTTTGACAAAAAGATGGAATAATATTTTTGGGAAAATATAGTAAAAGTAAAAAGTAACATTATCTCAAAAGTATAATTCCATCTTTGCCTTGTTTCTAAAATTCGTGCCTACTATTCAATATTTGGCCTAACTGTTCTTGACTGTTTGTTCTTAGTTGTAACAAATGAGATTACACCTAATTTGAAGTCTGTCTAAATATTCGCAGTAAATTCGAAGATTACTCATTGTCAACAGTGGGCTTTGATCACTGCGAATTTTACCTGTGAGCTCTTTCCCAGTGCGATTTCCACAAGTGGAATAAGTTATTCTGGAGTAAAATTTTGTTTATAATTTATTAAAATGTACGAAGACAGCAAGATTCATATATTTTGCGGTATTTTTAAACTGATTCATTTTGTAAACTGTCTTTGTAACTGTCTCATTAGTTAGAACAGAGAGTGTCTTATGACTTGAATCTATGTGTGTAAAATAGTTGCTGCCATACTGACCATTTTGTCTCAACCAGTTAATCAGAATAAGATGAGTATAGCAATTCGCCACCTTTTTTTGACAGCTAAATACTAAAAGTTTAGTCATTTTTATCTGTGGTTCGATTTACATCCTAACACTGGCAACTCTGTATTCTATGTAGATAATAAATTAATTGTAGAAGTATTGTCTATGCAGCTATTGTGATATAAATCTTCCTTGTTTGACGCAGTTGAATGCGCCCGACTCGACTGTAGGTCGCTCTTTATTGTAATTCGTATTAAACTATGAGATTTGTGAATATTATATAATTATAGTGAAAATTTATGAATGGTTAGCTTTTTGTGGAGCATATTGCGTATTAAAGAAGCGTTTGCACTTGTTTATGTTTTATTTATTTATTAATTTACTGCACGGTTGGTGCGGTAGTTGGGCAACTGGCTGCTACGCAACGTGTCGTGGGTTCCATTCCCGCACGGAACAACTTTTTGTGTGATCCACAGATTGTTGTTCGGGGTCTGAGTGTCATGTGTATGTGAATTTGTATATTTGTAAACGCACCCACGATCCAAGAAAAAATCCTCGTGTGGGGCAAAGTTTAAAAAAATCATTTAATCATTTATGTACACAGTACAATAAAATAACCACTATTTTGTACCAACATAAGGCGAACTTAATGCCATATGGCATTCTCTACCAGTCAACTTCCCCTATACTTGTTATAGCTCTTTGCAGGTATGCTGCATAAATAGAAATTAATATAGGATTAGGTTCAAATTAGGTTTAAAACATGAAAAATTCTGGAAAATATAATAGTAAAATATATTGTATTAAAATAACATTCCTTATAAATTTAAATAAGTATAAATAGTAGAATTAAGATGACATTAAACAAAGTCTTTGGTAAGACACCAATTATACAATAACTTAATTATTTACAAGTTTTTAAAATATTATGTTACTACTTACATAACATTTACTAAATATATTCAATTTCAAATAATTGTAATTTATTATTCAATATTTTTATGATTGATTATAAAAATTATTAAACAAATAAATAAATAGTTATAAAATTGAGTTATAAAACAGGGTTGACAATAATCCATGCTACAATCCAAAGTGCATTGGATAAATATGACTTTACGTATCTAATCGTTATTTTTGTAAATAGCAAAGTCCACTATTTCCTTCAAGAAATTATGGACTTTGCTATCATAAACAGAGATTTATAAGTATCTTCTGATCATTCATATAACCTTTGGAACTACAATATTATTATTACTATGATGCAGAATCACAGAATAATTAAGGGTTTTTAATTTTGCGCTGACGAGATGGCGCTAGTGAGCAGTTTGGGTCTAATGACTTAATAGTGTTGAACCGAAAATATACAACATAATATTGCTATCCAGTCTATACACACATAACTTACTAAATGATACAGAACAAGAAAATATTGGAGCAAAGTAAGACTATAATAATTATTTTAAGTAAAGTTAAATTACGACAATGCCTATATTTACACGTAGACTGTACACAAAATGTACTTTACATAAAGTTCTTTTTACAAACATACCTGTACCTACACTCATTTTTGAACCACTGGTACTGATTAAGTTGAAGAACTTCTTGGCTATATACACACATCCACGCACAATACACTTGTATGAAGTAGGTACATTTAGATTAATCTTATTTTAAAAGGATATTCACATAAACGTACAATATCACGCTTGTGTTGGCGGTAAGACTAGTCTAGCTGTAAGTTCGCGCCCTCTGTCGGCCACTGCACCAAACACACGTCCCATCAGACCTCTTGGTACTTCTTCTATGAGCTTTTCTTTTTCTGGAAAACAAAAAATACAGTTTTATATACAAAGTCACAAAGAAATTCAGTTTCTCTGTTCATCTCGGTTTTATCTGGTTACTACTGTAACTACATATCAACTTTTACAGGGCTCCCTCTAAAAGTATTGTTTCAATTGTAAAGCCTATCACATTTTGGACTGTAACACAGCTAACACGGAAGTTACTGTAAAAGTAGGGTCTTGATAAATAGTTCACTTTGAAGTTCTAGAAATCGGAAAAGTCATCTGACGGTTTGCGTACAAACCTCAGGAAATAAAATGAAATTATTGGTCGTACACACGGCCACACGTCTATCTATACAAAACCGTTTATCCTGATGCCGCATCGCATCATCTTTTCACACATTAACGTTCAGTTTATACTGGTTATGTAAAGTTCGACGTGTAGCCGTGTGTACATATCAAATGAACACAAAATTAACCAGAACTCTTTATTGATTGGGATTGAGAAAAGAAGACAATAATTATTATGTGTTAAAAAAGAATATTTTCCCATGAATCCAGTCCAAGAAAACCTCACCTATAAGAAAATCCAAGAGTACATCAGTGACCTCCTTACTGCTGGGTTCGGGTTTGGTGACAAGACGCAGTGTGGACGCTGTGCAGTGCTGTGCACTGGCCACCAGCTGCGCTGCACTGTCCTTGTTACCGACTAGAAGGGCTGGAGCTGACGTCTTAAGACCTTGCTTCACTTGCCACCAGGCTGCTCCTGAAATTGGGGTAGAAGATTTTAGTAAGGTCAAGAAGCAAAGCAACCAAAAAGCTGATTCAGTAAAATTAGCGGAGGGTATCATATAAGAAATTAGGTTATTAATTTATGCTTTTAAAAACGTGAGTAGTTTTGAGTGTGAGATAATTCAATAACTACTTTCATTGACATGGTAGGGATTGAGACTGTTGTAATTAATTAGTGAAAAGTGATCAAATACCGCGAAAAGACCCTTTGTCTGCGTAGTGTGAAGGTCAAAACAATAAGTCGTTAGAAAAAGAAGAAAGAACATCGGAGTAGGTACCTACGTAAGTAATTAAAACTTTAAAACGTATTTTAAAATCAAAGAAACCAACCTCTAACATAATTAAGTGCACCAGTCCAGTCGCATGCTCTGGAGCTGGTCCAGCGACCTTCGCGGTCGTTTAGCTCGCCCTCCGCCAACCAGCGCTCAGGGAAGTGTGGCCACTGAAGCAAGTACATTGGGTTAATATTCAACGGTATCTGTGTCAGAAAAATAAATATGCTGTAGAATTTACGCATTATATTGGTAGATGACAGATTGAAGATGTTCGTGAAGATGATCATGCGGTTTTACCTACCTGCCTACACCGGGGTCCTGAGGGTCATCTCGTCTCAAATTAGGCAACTGGAGTTTGAAGTCAAGACTCAAGCAGTTTCTGGCGTTTTACAACTGTCGGTTTGTCTGTTCTTTTGCTGTTTTCTCCTCAAAAAAGTTATCCATGATGATGAACGTAATGGCAATATTTGGTACACACACAAACCTGTATGAACTGCAGAGCTCGATGACAGAATGTGGCAGGTGGGTACTGCCAGTAGAGATTCGGATGAGGAGCGTTGATCACCGCAAATTTGCTGATCAAGGGGCCTCGAGTGTGGACTAGGTACCTGGAAAGATACGTAACAAATTAGCCACAGTTTCAAAAACCTTTCTTCAATAATCGACAGCCTCAAGTGCAGTTTATGTTCTTGTGAGTTTTTAATATAATTAAGTAGAAATCTACCTCTATTACCTATTTATTATAAGTAAGCTTAAGTCTCGCATGCTATGTTTTTTCGACCCCTAGATGGAATACCCTCGCCTAGGTACGACTAAAAACCACCCCGGTGTCCCGTTGCACACGAGGGATAGGCGCTTTCGAAAAAGCGAAAGAGTGAAAGTGTTTGTCTCATGAAATAGGGGCAGAGAGTAGGACTACTGGCGTTCTGCTGAATAGGGCTAACAGATGCAAACTAAATGGAATTCCATAATAACAGTTATCCAGAAATAAATGATTCTCTTCCTAACTTTATAACGTACCATATCAATGGCATATTTGCATAGTACACAAGTGGGGAAAGTCGTAGATAACTGGCGTCAATGCGCACTATCTATCAATTAAACCTGACCTCTCGTATCTGACGGTATGCACGTCACCAAACTAGCATACTTAATAGTATGATGCGATGTCATATCGCGAGAATTATCAGTTACATCGTATGATTTAAGACGATGTCTTCGTGTCAGTCAGACAAATAGATTTACCTACCAATGCATGTAAAGTAATTGATGAACTAGAATAAAACCACTACGTGTCTTCATGTGATACCATAAGGCACCACCTTGCCTTTTATTCTTTGAAGAGGGAGACAGAATTGCTTCAACATACCATAACATAAAGATGAAAACGTCCAAAAATAAGACTTATCTACAATTTTCGTTGGTCCAACAATAATCGTTATTCATGATTTATGATCTAATTATAATTCAAGGAAGATAATTAAAGATTATTACATGCTTTATTTAATATATCCAACTCCAAAGGGCATTGTGACATCACGGCAAACACTCAAAATAAATGACTGATAATAACATCGTATGATTATTTCCCGGTTCATGCGCAGACGCATGGTAGACAGTTTGTTCCCGATTTGCTACCGCGCTTGATAAGATTTTTTATTGTTATTTAATATATTTTTTTGATAAATATAAAGCATTTGCCTGTTGATTGAGTGCTTGCTAAAATTAAGTTAGGTAGGTATAGCATTGGTGGTCAGATGCAGTTTATATTTAATATATGTATATATAAAATAAAGATTATTTACCTAAAAGAATTAAAATGCATTCAACTATCGATAAAGCTATTTTTAAGATGGTACGATTTTATGTTATTGAAGTTATGATAACTTATTGGCACCTTTATCATCGTTACTAGCCTACAAGGTACCTATCAATTAAGAAAATTAATTGATTTAAAATTAATTTCCTACACAGTCCTCTATACTCTATTCCCTATCATTAGTACAGTCTTTAAACATAAGACTACTCACCAAGTAAGCATCCCTCCAATACCAAATCCAATTACCACAGCCTGTCTGTTCTCTGACACTCCAAGAGCCTTCAGCAATGCTGATAACTCTTCAACCGCTCTTGGAGGAGACAGCTCACTTCTCGAACCTCCTTCACTTCCACCAGTGCCCCTCAAATCCAGGGTGACTACGTGGTGATCAGTTTCTGCCAGCCTTCTGACGACATTCGCCCAGTTTGGCCCCCAAAGATTACCAGTATCTGGGGCGTCTTTGAGGATCAACACTTTCTGGCCACTTCTCGGCCCTGTCTCGACGTAGTGATATTTCACTCCCTGGAAAGATGGAATTAGTTAAGTGGTAGTCAGCTTATACAAGTAGTTTTGACTGGAGGCAAGGGGATGTAAGTGTACCCTTCTGACAGTTTGTGGTCAATTCTTTAAATTGTTTTAATCGTTGTGATAACATTTCGTTATATTTTGGTCCTGTTTATGAAGAACCGCTTTTAACTTATCATTGAAAAAAGAATAAGTTAATATGGACCCAAGATCAGCACCTGTGAATATAGTTGATCTTTAAGTTTTATATCAATAAACTTCGAGATTTACTGGTAGTTATATATTTCAGAGACTAAGTAAAGGGTAATCAAATCTATAATAAATAAAATAGACGGACAGCAGGATTTTTAAGGGGGGAAAATGACTTCTCTCGTCTAGGTAAGGCGGGAGGGGGTGTCAGATTCTAATTGACTAAAAACCAACCTGTTCCAACTCATGCACTTTGAGCCGGAGCCCCGGTACCGTTTACGTTCGCCGCGGCTCTGTATCGCGCGTAGAAGTCTAAAAGTTTAAGTCTAAAAGCGAATCTGATCATATCAAGAGCAGTAATTATGGTATAGGTATAGGATGACCATGACTTCAGTAGAAGGTTATATTTGACTAAAGTCAAACCCTGTTAGAACAGGTATTAAGCTTTAACCAGATTAAGCTAGTATTAACCAGCCCGATCATGATAGTAAAACCCTTTAAATTGGCGACTTAACGCCAAGAGAAATAAGTTCATTGACAGAAGTAATCACTTGATGTAGGTGTGTCAGCTGGATTTGTTTCTGATTAATTTCAATTTGGTATCTATAGGAATCTGATATTCATTCGTGATAAAATGACTCATTGTTATTGAAGGAATGAATATTAATTTAATTCTAAGTAACTAATGCATCATATTTACTACTGGAGAATCAATACCTACGTGAGTTTGTGCATATACAGGTGTAATGGGTGCATAGTCGATAGACCGATAGGTCATAGGGCTGATGCGGATACGGAGCCGCGGAGGACTTAACGGGTTACCAGGGTTCCAGCTCGAAGGGCAGGAGTAGGAACAAGGTGGTTTTAAGTCAGTAAGAGTCTGACACTCCCTCCCGCCTCACCCAGGCGGGATGTCATTGGATGATTTTCCCCCCTTACGGTTATTATAAAGTGGGTTATGTTAGACTGTACTGTAGTCTATGACTACCGGAATAAAACTATTACAGGTGATCTTTCCCTAACGTCTTGGTTATCACTGCCCGACACAATGTTCAATGTGTTGTGATTATCGTGGAATGCTGCCCATGAGTATGAGCCCCTAGCATGGCTTGAAACTAGTTGAGGTTCTCGTCAAACAGTCACGTGAATAAGCCGGTATACTTATAAACATTACAATTTATTGATATAAAGAAATAAGACGATGTTTATAATAACAACATCTTTAAATCAATTATTTATCTAGAATATTTTTATCTGTCACTGTACAAGTAAGGTTGTAAATCAGTAGTAGGTACCTACCTAGTAAGTTATTAGTTATCGAAGTGTAATCGTTTTGATATTAATTATTGTAATGGGTAGTTGACCTGTATAAACATAGATTGCATACTTACAATATAAAATGCATTCTAGATTGGTAAATGAAGCCTACCAACATTTTAACAAGATTTGATAAATAATAAAAAAAATCGATAGACTTTTCAATAACAATTTTCTATTTTTGCAGTCTTGCACTTAGAAATTTTAACAACATAATAATATGTTTTAATAACGATTCCTTTTTTATAAGAATAAAAATTGTACGAAATTATACCGAACGCATAAATACTTAGCTAATATAAAAAAAATAAACGCCACAAACGAAATAAAAAAAATACAATATCAAAACAAGTTCGAAATTCAAACGAGCTCACCATAACTTTGATGTAGCAATGAGTTCCGATAGACGAATCCACGGTCAGTTCAACCGGTTGACTTTCATCCACTTTTCTTCGATAACCTTTCCATAATCTTTTGACGGAAATCTCGATAATTTGCCAAATGCCGACAAAAACACATGTTAGAATCAATTCTACGGCTTGCCACCCAGAAATCACTTGTAACACTTTCAAACTACGTGCGCCCATGATGAAAGTACATTCGAACTGAGTTAATATCGTGGAACAGTAAATGAGTGTCGTGATAGGCTCAAAGGTTGCTATAAATTACTCCATTGGCGACGCGACAAGCTGTTATCAGTTATCAAAGTTTTTTTACGGAGCAAGCGGATATCACGCATGGTGAGTACGTGGACACATGATAATGGTTGATGCAGAAGGTTCGCGGTGGTAAGAGATGGTTTTGAAGTTGTAGAATTGTATTCAAGTGCATCATCCCTGTTTTTCCCGTGCATGTGAAAAATACTTCAAATCTGTTAGAGACTGGGCAGCAGCGGTCTCTAGTAAATCTGAACGTTTTAATTAAACTGTAACCTCTAAAGCACCTGCCCAGTGTAAAGTATGACAAATCTTTTCAAACAGAGGTGGCCAATAGTCTAGCAGTGGACTATCACGCGGTGGTTTTTAGTCAGTAAGAGTCTGACACTCCCTCCCGCCTCACTCAGGCGGGAGCAGTCATTCGATGATTTTGCTCCCTTAAAAAAAATCACCGGTTGTTGATAAAAAATTTTTATGGGATAAGCCGATACATGCAGACGGATCACCTGATAGTAAGCAATCGACGTCGCCCATGGACACCTGAAACATTAGAGGTGTTGTAACACCTCTGATGTTTGTGGGTTACCGGCCTTGTGGAGATTAGGAATTTGAGGAATGTTGGGGATTCGGAGATTGGGGAGTTTGGGGATTGATTGGGCCTACATTTGTATCTCTCAATACTTATTAAAGGTTATATTAACACAAATTTCTTGCAGTTGTGGCGCCTTGCTCCTGTGACAGATGGATTTTCGTAGAAATATTTTTTTTTCATTTCTTAGCACATGCTTCTGACCTTCTGATACCTGATTGTTTAGAGACTTCATAATATTATTTTACCTCTTTACCTTGAAGGGACAATTGGTATTTATTTTGACTTTTTTTATTTGCAGTATATAGTTTTTAAAGCTCAGAAACGATGTATAAGGTCTATGTTCGGATTGAGCGTCAGAGATTCGTGTAAGCCTTATTTCATACGTTATAAAATACTGACATTACCATCAATTTACATATTAGAGGTGGCTTTATTTGTCAAAAATAATCCTCATCTTTTCCCACGTATGGCTGAAATGTTTCCTCGAAATCGACGCGATAATAATAAACTTTGTTTACATTCGTCAAGGACGGCATTTATGCGCAAAAGTGTTATATGCATGGCTCCTATAATTTTTAATAAGATTCCACACAGTTGGAAAGAATTTAATGGTGAATTATTCAAAAAGAAAGTGAAATCATTTCTCGTTGGAAAGGCCTATTATAATGTCGACGATTTTCTAAAAGATATACTTGAATAATGAAAAATTAATAAAATGCAATTGATTTATATAATTTTGACATAACATATTTGACATATTTATTTTTATTAGTTTTTACTGATTGACATTATTGTATATTATACCTTTACTGTTGTTGTTGTAACAGTAATAAGTAGACATAATTTTTTAATTATTATTATTCTATTGTTTTAAATGTAAAATGATGGTTACTCTGACATATTATTATCAATATTCCATCAATGTCTATTATTGAATAAGGTTTCCACATTCGAAAGATGTCGGTTAGTTCGCAATCATTATGAGTGACTACTATATTTGCACGCCATTGTATACGGCAAACATGTCTCGAACTTTTTTCACTACTACCCGCTATCTTACATGCTATTGTTTATTGTATGTACACATGTGTTTGAGCAAATAAACATGATTTGATTTGATTTGATTTGATTTATTTCCATAAAATACATATTTCAATTAATGTTCATGTTTGGAGTGGTATTTCTGTCCCAACATCTACATGGTGGTACCAATCTGTCAAAGTGCGTTCACTATCTCATTACCGATATATGATTGGTGCATTGATTTGTTGTCTTGTTTACACACATTGTAATTAGGTTACGCTGTCCTCTTTCCACACTAATTGCTTGTTATTGTCGCTAAACGTAACAATTATTGTATGTTACCCGCATAAATTAAAAAATATATAAATCTTTCCTATAATGGACTCAATACCCTGCTAATTAGTACCTAAGTAATTACTCAAGATAAAATAGCAAATTGACCTTTATTTGTTGACATTAAACATAAAGGTTGGTAATGCACTTGTCATTTTTGCACAGTACAGGGTTCAAAGGCAGTATCAGGTAATCGTCAGTTTGCGCAATCCCATAAAAAACAAAAATTAATATAGACAATTGTACAAACTGTATTAACTCGTCGAGTACCGGTTTTGTAGACACAATTATAGAACAATAGGTTGCGGTCACCGGTGACCGCTTGGTGTTTGACAGTTTAATCCTTATAAGATTAGCTAATCATTTTCCAAATAAACTAAAAAACAATATCAAATAATCAATGAGGAGATAGTAATGTAGTCCATCACACGATTAAAAAAAAGGCTCACTGTTTACAGAAACAAAACCTTTTTTGTTTCTTTTGGCTGTATGGATGTATGGGCGTGAGGGTTTTATTTAAAAACAAATTAAGTGAGGTCCGAGACGGTAGGCACTCAGCTCGGGACGAGAGGATAATGTCAGGAACATATTTAGGTTACGTTCAGACATGGGTTCCTTGGTGAGACGGGTTTTGTGGTGAAAAATATTTTTGTTTCGTTTTAATTTGATGGAGGATTAATAAAGTATAAAGTTACTAATTAAAAATAAGTGTAAAGTGTGTACACATATTCGTATATTTCACTTATTTATTGGTAAAAACTTAGGTAGGTAATGCAAAAGTAACTTAATCAGAACATAAAGTTTTAGGAACATTTCATTTTCCTAAGCTCAAGTGCTCAATCTATTCAAAGAAAATTTCAATTCAATACTCCAACCAATACCACTATCAATAAATAGTGTTCACGAACTAGAAACCTACCCAGAATAAGTGATGAGGTCACGTCTCGCAGCGTATATTAAATATATTCCCACTAATGGGTAGCGAGAGGACATGCAGAAATAGCCAGTCACTGTGGCTAACGACGGCTAAAGGCCATCTATAGTTATTGTGACGTTTTGTCTGCGCCCAGACTACCTTTCAAAGGATAAAATTGATTTTCAATATGATATTATGAGACGCCTGTAGTAATGTCAGGAGCAATGAGTTGCGGATGTGTGTTATTATCGTTGCGCTTGTTATTTTACAATGCGCTCACATGAGTGAAGAGGTAGTGTAATAATGTGAAGTGAGTCGCGAAGTGCTTTGTAATATTCAGTTAATTCTATACTTATGTATGTTTGTGTGTGTGCTGTGGGAAATTTTGCGAGAAGTGGTGTGTTGTGTAACGTGTTGTACGAAATCTTGTTTGTTCTTTTTATCTACATAAAATATGTATAAGAAATATAGTTACAGTTACAATCGTTTAAAATGAATTAAGCGATATTTTTCTTTAACATTTATTATTAAGTTAACACATAACTAATTTAAAATATAGTTTCCTGTTAATATTCATAGATGACATAAGTCAATCATATTATCGTAAGGACGTAAGAATCAGGAGGTCCTTACTGCTTCCTTGGTACAGCCATTGTACCAATTCAGTTTCATAACATTATCAGTATGGTGTAGCTTGTTCTGCTGCCTGTCTATTTAGAACGTGACACAACAATATGTAACGTGGCGATCAGATAACTCGACTGCTCAATAAAGATTATTGCGAGTGTTCGTGCGTGAGTGGACTGTAATAAGGGTGGGAATTATTATTATATTGTTATATTTTATTATTTTGGAAAAATGTAGCTAAAAAGTTGATATTCTATGAACTACGCACTACGAGCTACGAACTACGAGCTACGCACTACGGGCTACGCATTACGGGCTACGCACTACGGGCTACGCACTACGGGCTTCGCACTACGGGCTACGCACTACGATCTACGCATTACGAGCAAGGCATTACGAGCTACGCACTACAAGCTACACACAAATCGAGCTATGCACTGCGAGCTACGCACTTCGAGTTACGCAGTACGAGCTACGCACTTGGGGTTACGCACTACGGGCTACGCAATATGAGCTACGTACTACGGGTTACGCAATACTGGCTACGTACTACGAGCTACGTACTACGAGTTAAGCAGGACGAGGTTATGTGCTGTGATATTTATATGTAGTAGAATATGGGGTATGTACCCGCTATTTAGTTTAAAGGGTTTCCTTTACATTTCCTTTTATGTTCGTTTACCGGATGTTTATTATAATTAGGAAGTCTAGTTTCAGAAGTCTTCTCCATAGTAACTGCGTTTAAAATCGGAGTTTTATCATTTTCTTACTTCACTACTTTCATTCTTTCTTTATTCTCGTCATATATTTTTTGAATAAATCTTTCCATAATTTCACATAAAGCAAACACTCCGTAGCTTCATGGCGACCCTCCTAAGAGGTGGTGACAGGATGCGTCGTCACGTCTTCCGACCCTCGCCGACACCTTTGTCTACACCCTGTATATAAGGGGAGATTCTACCTATCCCAGAAACAGACAATATTATCTCAGAAAAATACATTTTTATCTTTTCAATGGCCTTTGTATTGTTCACGAAAATCATTTCAGAATGCTTCCTTGCGATAGATTAGATCTGAGGGGTTTTAAAAGACTTTCTATTGAACTTTGTGAAGATGAACTAGCTTAGATAATTATATACATAGATACATGTTATATTAAAAGGATCACACGATACAGCTGTTCGTATACTAGGTAAGTTAAGGTAGGTACTATATATACATAGATATCTTACTATAGGTTATTATAGATAGTATTTTGCCAGTAATACATATGTATATATGACTGCATCGTTGGCCGAGTGATCGCAAGTGCGACTGCCGGGCAAGGGGGTGTCGGGTTCGAATCCCGGGTCGGGTAAAGTATTACTGGGTTTTTAAAGATTTCAGTAGTAGCACGGAGTTTGGAACTGTGCCCAGTATATGGCAATAGGCTCACCCCCTATTACATGGGACTCATAACATAAATAGTGAAAAGTGGGTGTTACTTCTGTGTGCACCTCTGCCTACCCCTTCGGGGATAAAAGGCGTGATGTTATGTTATGTTACATTTCACTTTGAATTTGCAAGCTGCTAGTATTTTTGTGACACCCTTAACAAAATTTCATTCAAAAGTGGGCCGGCTG